TGAAGTGCGTTTTCTATTGGCCTAAAATGACTAATGCCGCAATGAAAAACGGTATCCCTTATTCCTATTTTGTATTGTAAAACTTTTATAGATTAGAATTCATCTGCTTGTACAAGTTATATCTTGGCTTGTGTTGAGTTATCTTGCATTTGATGAAAGTTGTAGTTCCTGTGTCCAAAAAGGAGTAGATTGTAATAGTAAAGTTCGTTGAGCTGCAGTTCAATCCCGCCATGCCGATAGTTATTTTGACAAAGTTGAATAGAGTGAAAAATAGTAGTAATTTTTCCATTACGTTTCCTAAAATAAAAAAAATATCAGTGTCTTTGTTTTACCATTCTTAATTAGTTTAATTGTATTTATTTTACAATATTTAATTTATTTGCATGAACTGTTTTTGATTTTCCAATATAATCGATTACAATGGTGCCTTTATTGGTTATTTTTAGATTTTCAAAAGACCTAAAGTAACAGTTTTATTCCTATTTTCTCTGTTTTGGTTCGTTCATGAACATGACCTTATCTCTGATCTTAAAATCGACTGGATTTGTATGGTTTTGTCAAATTATTCTTTCGATTTTCTATTAGAAATAATTAAATTTTCTCTTGCAATTTGAACGCTTTTCTTCGTATATTTTATCAGATTTTCTAAATATCCATTAAAAGTTGTCAGTTGTTTAGATTTTTTAAGTGGTACATTAGGTGATAGTTTGGCCGGAAATGCAAAAACAAGTTCGTGCGGCATAAAATTGTGGCTGGTATGAATCGTGTTATAATTATATTGTGCTAGTTCTGTCAATTCATCCCAATCACAATTTTTCGATGTAAAGTTGTTCATGTACTCGCAAGGGTGATTCGCCTACTTAACGGAAGACAAACAAAGGCTTTCCATAGTCTTTCACGTAATTACTTCCCTTCAAATTTTTCAAATTAATATTTTTAAAAACCTTGTCTCTGTAGTTAGATAACTTTTCCCTCGATATCGAAATTTGCATCTTTAATTAATTCAATATTTTCTGGAGTCTTTTAAGTTTTTACATATTTTAGGTTTAAGTTTTTACATATTTTACATATCATAGGGACGAAATACAACCTGTTTATTTTCTTGGATAGTCCCTATCGATTGCTTATCATTGTAGTTTTCCATTTATTTATTATTGTACTGTAATTTTCGTTATACAATGTCACGTTTCTATAATTTGTCAGGTAGGTTAACTTCATCGGGTATAAAGAAAATTCCCAAAGCTTCTTCGTCCATTTCGATATTTTGCTCTACTCAAGTTACTATTGCGACTCGATTGTCGAAAAATTGAAGTGTTATCGAACTCCTTAATTTTTTAGATGATTACTTCATTTGTTGAGTTAAAAACCCGCTTCTTTAGTAATTCGATGTATGAAAAATTTCACATTTTTCGAATTGTCAAATTTTAGGAAGGAATATTTACCATCGACAATAATTGATTCGAGAAACAAGGAATTGAATTTGCCAAGTTCGCTTATACCGTATTGCAAGACATGCGAAATTTTAACTTAACAATTTTCTGTATACCCAAAAGAGTTGCGCCAATTGAAAAATCGCAAGTTTCATCTCATTTAAGTAACCAGTCAAAACAAGCGTGCAATCGAATTGTAACACAAGACTTTAAATCGTACCACTACTAAAGATCACCTAACGGGATTTACGTTTTCCTATCTCCGAACCTTCTTTTGATGTCAGTAAATTGGTGGTTTTGTCTTTTGTAATGTAACCTTCAAGCGTGTTAATTGAACCTTTCTTTTTGCTCGTTCTATAATACGTTTTATTTTTGCTTCTTTGGAGTTTTTTATTTTTTATACATACAGTGTTTATTGTGATTTTATGCTTCAATCTTGTATTTGTTTGCAAAATCTAAGCGATCGGCACGCAGTCAACAAAGATTTTAGCTGAATATTTTTATTAAAAATCGTGAAGAAACGATTTCTTTATAAGAAACGAATTTTTCATTTTTTTTATGACGTCTGATTATGGTACGGGGCGAGCTTTAAAGAGATCAGCCAATGTTAAGCAGTGAAAATTGAAGGTTTTATTTGTCAGCTTGTAAAATTCATTTTGATTGAAAACATCCTTATAATATATTGTTTTCTTAAAGTACTCGAAAGAAGCTTTAATCATGTGTGTATGTGTGTGTGTGTGTGTGTGTGTGTGTGTGTGTGTGTGTGTGTGTGTGTGTGTGTATCTGTGAGTCAAATCTCAATATCTCAAATATACATCCCAAAAAGTCACTCTTAACATAACATCTTATTCATTGAAAAATTTAGCGCCGTGCACGATCCTGAGCGACACAGCGATGGAAAATCTCTTTCAGTCTTTTAATAAGCTCATTCGAGATGTAATTCGAGATGAGTGGAGCATTTTTTCAATGAAGTTATTTTTTCAGTTTATAAAATAATTTATTTGAATTTTCTAAAAATGATTTCGTACAACTTCTAGAAAAATTACTTTTTATATTTGAAAAATAATTTTATTGAAAAAAGCTCAACTCATCTCCAAATCCAAATGAACAAACTAAGACCTCAAAAAAAATGCGTTCGCTGTGACGCTTGGAATTGTGTTCGTCGCTAAATATTTTCAATAAATAAAACGTTATGTCAATATGAACTTACTGGGCCGCATGTTTCAGAATTTTGAGCTTACGACCGAGAAAATCAAAGCTTATTCCGAGTTAACTTCGATATGTAAATTTTAACACTCGCTTCCTGGCATTTCATTCTGAATACGCCAATCCTCATCTGATCACTGAAGTTAAGCAGCGTTAAGCGCAGAATTGTACATGGATGGGTGACCACTTGGGAAGCCCGCATATCATTAGTTTTATTTTGCTTTTTTAGAGAAGAAGATTTATTTTTGCTTTTATGAAAATTTTGTTATTTTTCGCTGCACTTTCTTTACTTTTGCCATGTTGTACTTCAATCTTGGCTTTTGAAATTATGCTTTTCATCGCGTGCTCATAAGTAGGCAGTAGGTGAAAAGAAAAGGAGAGAGAAAAGAGAAAGAGAGCAACCCTACAGCCTCTTCTCTCACTCTCTCATTTACTCTCTCTTCTTTATTCAGTCTCACACAAATATTCGCGTGTCACTACGAAGATCAATCTGATGGTTTAAGCAAATGGTGCTCTTGGAAAAGTAGTTTATCTTGAATTTGTCAATCTCTGATTTTCCGAAGATTAGTTAAAAATGAATGAAAAAAGATGCTAGAATAACTACAGAAATTTAATACGGTACTCTTGCTATACTCATGAAATTAACAACATCGAGCTAACCACAATTTTTGTGAAATATAATTAAAGTTGATCAAAATAAACAAATCATATTTATACTTCGATTTGCAGAATTACTTATATTCGATAAAGAAAAAATACAGCGAGTTCTAGCATTTCCTATAGCGCGATCCTAAATAGTTATAAAACGACATCGGGTGATTGGAACAGTATTATAAATATTAATTAACAATTTCATATATAATGGTAATCGATTGCATGCGCATACAGAGCAGCCAATTTTTAAATTAAAAAAAAATAACATAAGCCTTCGCGTATATGAATACTTTTGTGTTTTTCGAGAAAGTATACTCATATATATATATACTCAGTATAGTATACTGAGTATACTAGGCACATATTAACACTGAGTATACTAGGCACTCAAGTATAGTATACTCAGATGTGAGTTTCTTTCGTTCGGCTTGAAATTTTATAAATCGATCAGTCGTGCCTGTTTGCAATGCTATCTTTTGTGTGTTTTTTCCAAATGCAATATTAAAAATATTCAAATTGGCGGTTAACTTTTAGTTTCTCTCCGTGGGAGAAAAATAAATAAAGAAAATTATGATTTGAATATTGATTTGAATACCGAACACGGATCGCAAGCGTTCCGAACGGTATCGAAGAGTACGCGGTAGCAAATATTGAACTTATTTCAAAGGCAAATTTACCGAAACCATCGGGCGTTTAATAAGGCCTTCAAGCCTCGCTTTCGTATCTTTCTTTGTTTACCATGAAAATATTATCAAAATAACCCCAACGTCAGGTAGGTGTTGTTTACGAACTATTCAACGTTTATAGCGATAAATAAAAAAATATTGTTACAATTGTTTCCATTTTTTATCATCGCTGAAAAGTCCTCCCTAAAATTTAATTCACCTGATTTTTATGACGCATACGTTCCGAATACTAGTAACAATAGCTTATGTCGTCTGGAATCAAGATTTGATTACAAAGAATTTGACTTGTGCGAAAAACACAACTTATATAATGTTGATTGATGCATTAGAACAGAAAAATCGTCAAGAATTAGAAAATTAGGCACGCAGTCGAATCAGTCTCAATAAAACGTGAATAATTTCAATATATATGTATATTGAAAAAAATTGATCTTTGTTTCATTAAATTTCGAAATTTTTCAACTTGTTATTAAAAGGTAGAAAATTTCCTCGAAAAAATTGAGGCGACGCAGCATAATAGATAGACAAAGGGGGCTGGTTTGGAAAAAAGTTAGATTATACGTGGTAGCATTTGAAAATTGCGAAGATTCTTTATGAAAATTATTGGTGCAACTAGGATATCCCTGTTCGACTTGGCGTAATTTTTCCAGCGATCGGATTCTCAGTGTGAAACCCCACAAGTACGACAATGCTTCCAAACAAAAACTTGACGTACAACCAAACAACTCCAATTTCGTAATAAATTATTAATTATTATTATTCATTAAACAGCTATGCATATCGCATAACAACTTAAAAAATAAATAAATAACAAGAGAGTGGACTGTCGGGAAAACTGTCAGTGAGAAATCAGTAGCGACATCAGCGTATCGTCAGCCGGCGTCATTCGATGTGTAACGGAGAGGGAGAATGCAATCACTCAGTGTCAATGTCAAATACACATAGTAATAATAATAATAATCATCATCAGTATCATCATCATATGAAATTGCACTTAAATCTAGAGAGAAGAAAAAAACTATACCTCGTTGGCATGTTGGGATAGATCTTCGGGAGACAGTAAGTCGTTGCAATGCCACGCGGTCAAGCAGACACGAGGCGGCTCGACCTTGTTCAAGTGCAAGCGAGATCGATATGCTGGCACACGCGCGCGCGCACAGAATAACACCAACAATCTTCAGCTTCCGTTCAGTTGCAATCTTCCTTTGTCGTTCTCGTCTCCCGCTCGTGCTCTCGTTTCTTCGCTGCTCTCGGCGCGATCTCGCGCGTCGGATAGCATGCATTGTCGGGTCGACAGGGACGACGGATTACCACACGAGCGTGACGCGGGAAGGTACGCCCGCAAGTTCCGACGACGGAAGTCGCGCTGCCGCATCGTTCAGCGCTGAACTGGCGACTTTTGGCCGTTGCTCCTCGAAGCGAAAACCCGAGCGCGCTCGGGCTGGCGAGCGAGCGAAGCCTGCGCGCCGAGGTGCCCGTCGAGACGACGACTCGCGCGAGGAGGCGGGGGCCCGCGGCATCGGCAGCGGTCGCGCGAATCCAGCGCCGAGAGATAAGCGCCCTGGCCGCGCGCCAAACGGCGGAGGCTTGAACGCCAGCGCGCTCGCGTGCGCGTGCATCCGTCGTCCCTCTCGCGCTCCAAAATCAGTGGAACCAGCCTGCAGCGGCCTCGCGGCTCGCGGGCCGCCAGCGTGGAAGGGCGCGAATCGGGGCTGCGCTCGGTCGACGCTGAGCTACGCAGGGACAAACTGACGGCCAAAGTGTGACGTAATCGTCCGTCCACCTCCCTCGTCGCTGCCCGAGGCGCATGCAACAGCGGGGAACGGCCCGGGGGGCCGAGGATCGTCGGGCGCGCCGCGGCGCAATCGGTTGGCATGTTGACGTTACCTGTTTTGCTCAGATTCATGAACCTGGAGGGACTGCGGGCGGCGCTGTCTGGCGCCGACCCTCGAGACGTCGCTGCGTCGTCGGCCTAGATCTTCGGCTGCTGGCGATCTTGGAGCGGACGGTCTTCGGCGAGCGTTGCGGCGGCAATCTTCCGGCTGATCGGCTCTGCGCTGCTCGCCCGCGGGCGCGACTCGAGCCAAGTGGCGTACTGCGCGCGACGGGGAGCGAGTCGTGCGAGCAGTCGCGTGAGGCGCGCGTCGAGCGGCGGCGCGTGGCAAGGAGCTTCTCGCGTGTCTCTCGGCAAGGTGCCTCCCCGTAATGAGGCGCTGCGCCATGCGTGGCAGGGTTTTATCGGCGGCGGCGAGCAGCGCCGCGCAGCCGCGCTGTGTAACCCAATCGCTCGGCCGCCTCGCCAGGAGGAGTTGCAGCTGCAGCTTTAACCCTGCCGGCGCGTCATCAACTGCTGCTGCCACTGCTGCCAGCGGGCCGAACTGCACTCCCGTCGAGGGCGCGGTGGTGGGGGTGCGTCGCGCGGGAGGAGCGCGCCGTTCGGCCGGTGGCGCGCTCTCTCGGCCCCAGCTCCCTTCGAGCCCCCGGCGAGCTTGCGCCCGCCGCCAGCCCGCACCGCCGCGCGCCTCGGCCGCTCGTCCACGTGGCGGGCATTCGTCGTGGCCGAGCGAGAGCCGCGGGGGCCTCGCGGCGGCGCGCGCCCGGCAGTTTAACGGCCTTTCGCAGACGCCTAATCAGCGTCCCACTCGGCCGCGCAGTATTTCCTTGCGTCAATCAAGTGCGAACTTCGCTCGTTTCCCGCTCGTATATCGTCGCTCCATTGGAGATGCAAAAGTTTAGCATTAAAAGACACCCCCCGGCCCACCCGCCCAACCATTTCCGTTAGGACTATATAATCCGACCGTTAAGCGTCTCGACTTTAACGCGCGACGGACCAAGTTTTAATTGTGTAATAATGCTCCGGAGGTAAAATATCAAGTCGAATGCCTCGCTCGTTTGATGAAGATTCAACTCGTGTCTGAAAAAAGACGATTGTGTGTATTTAGCACCTTTCTCTCGCAAAACTTGTGTAACTCCGTTACACTATTATCCACTTAAAACTGCGAAATCTCTAATTGGCTGCGCGCGGGGATTAGCTGCGACGACGACGCGAGCAGATTGCGATTATGCTTCTGGTCGACAATACGACGACAATATTGTCAATTGGGCTTAAATATAATCTTTCATACTTCCATTATGTGATTGAGAAAGTGATGTTGATTTTGTAATCGACAGTAAAAATTGTTTTTCAAGATTACAAGATGCAGTATGAAAATAAACATTTGTCCGTGTCAGTGTTTGACGCGCATGTCAAAATATTAATTATATTTAAAGAAAGTCGAATTTCAATTGCTTGTACAATATATCGAATTAAATTTATCATATTACGTTACTTTTATTTCTCTCAACATAACATTCATTCTAACTTTTAGCTTCGCGATATCAATAAATTCCTAAAACCAGTTTTTTTCGTTGCAAGTGATACAAGTATGCAATAAGGTCAGACAGGATTTTTATTCTCCGCGTAACTATTTTAGTGTCAACGTTTTCCAACATCATTAGACTTATAATTTACTGGAATATATTCTGTGTTCACTATATTTTTCAACAATTTTATCATATTTATTATCAGTTCGAAAGCATAATTATACAAACATTATTAATTTGGAAACGCCCGAAGAAATAAAAGAAAAATTACTTTTACATTGGAATCTGCTAAAGGTAAAGAATAATAAAACTTGACGCAAAATAAATGGCACTCTAGTAATAAAAGAGTAAGAGAAATCTGCTTGTAACAAATCCTCTTTTAGTAAAAATTTTTCTTCCTGTAACCAACCGAGATAAAGTCGTGATACCAAATCAAATATATTGAAATTGATGAAAAACAGCCTTAATAGGATGGTTCGTTTGGTCGACAACAGGCATCACCTTATTTTGTAACGCTCGTCGCTTGCTCTGCGTGTTTTCTCAAGTGTTCCCTTTGCGGTTCAAGCTAAAGAATACGCCGCTGAATTTTCTCTCCCCCGAGTAGTTCCTTTCTAATAAGACCCGTGGGTGCGGTCAGCAACCCTACGTTTGGTTTTTCTTTGATCTTCCGCGTGATATTTCGAGATTTGTAGATAAGTTAAAGCTAAACTTCGTCCCTACTTTTCTGTTCGTAATGCAAATCGTCGATGCCAAAGTAAGAGAAGAAATCAATCAACTGTAGATAATAATACTCAATTAGTTACGCAATAAAATTCATGCACAATCAGTCCTCCTAAATCGGGAAGAATGTAAATATATTTCCGACTTGTTATAAATCATTAAATCGAGTGAATTAATTCAACAACAATAAACGAATGCAAAAATCTCTCGGAAATGTAATTTTATTATTGTGAGAAATAGGTAGGGTAAGAGCGCCAAATGTTTACGAGCTTTCGCGTATTCAAGGTATGGTTTTTAGATTAAAGAAGGCGTATGATTTTCATTAGCATCTGTTTAGCAGGTATGGTATTAGACTTCGAGAAAAGTAAAAGAAAAAGGGAAGAGCATTGAAATGAGAGTTGAGCCGAAAGTGCGGCCCTCACTAACAGGACCAGATAACGTCGGCTTATCGAGATGCTCATCATAGTGTACATGCATGTTTTTCCATTTGATACTAAATTAGTAATTTAAATATACTGGTATTAAAAATACTTTATATAGATAAATGATATTTACACAAGCAATTAGTAAAACTAAAATAAGATTCAATTTCTAGCTATAGTGAAGATGCACATTAAACGCACTTAATTTATCGCATGATTCTATTAAAATTATTATATTACGGAATATATTTTAAACCACTCTGTATAAAAGCCAACTTAAAAAATGTGAAATGTTTAGTTGTCTAAATTGAAAATAACTAATGAAGATTAAAGAATGAAAACAACGAATTAAATATTACATAATACTTTTATTTGAACAAAATAATGTTTCATAATAAAATTGAACTTTACAAAATCTATTATGGCCTAGTAATTCAGTTAATTGATTTTTAATTAAGAATATAAAGGGCATTTGTGCTTATAGTTCTTGACAATTCGCTATCAAAGAAATCAAGTATTTAAAGAGAGTTTACGCAGTACTTATGAAATGTAAAGTAATACATCAGAAGAAAAATGTTATCAAAACTGCTAAATCGAATTGGAGGATCAAAATCTCATTAGACTAAATTCGCCAAATAAATATTTTCTGATGATGGAGTGTCCACTGCAATAGGTTCTATGACTCTACGGAATGCAGGATACACACACTTGAATAGGTAAACTGCACAACGATTTTAAATGTACTTCGAAGTATTTTTATTTATTGAATTAAAAAAATTTATATTTAAGCTTGTATGTATATGTATCCTTTCTTTTTCTTTTGTACATGCGTATAGTAAGAGTTTACAATAATAAAAAATATTTTAGTGATATTATTTAAATTGGATCTTAAATAACGAGTTAATCTACTTTAAAGCTCCAATTATATAGATAAGTAGAATTTTGTAGATAATATAAATTTATCTTAAAATTTATCTACATATCACGTACATATATTACATTATTAGAAAATCTATGTATACCGATCAAATATTTATTTATACAATTTTATATATGGAGCTGCACGTAATTTATTATGTATATAAGATTAGATCTTGTATATAATTTTTAAATTGTGAACTAACTTTCATTCATGACGTTCATATAACGTAAAGTCATATAAACTTTTAAATATGCGATTTTAATCACTCTATTTAATGTTAAAGTCTTCAGTATTACGTAGTGACAGATCTCATGAAAAATTGGAAATCATTCTTAGATCATAATTAATTATCTATTATAATTATATATTTTGTATTTTAGATCAAGAATAAATCTAATGAAAAAGACTAATATTTAAGTACTGCGATCAAACACAGGCCTACCATTGCCAATCCCTACAGAATATGATAACCATCATAAGCGCCGCGAGAATAAATGAGTCAACTTACCCAACTTTCTGTAGCTTCTACTGCGTTGCTTGGCGACTTAACGTGGTTAGACTGAAGCTCGTGCTCAGGCCTAAGAAATGAAAAATGAGCACGCTCTCAGGATACTGTGTTATCCTAAGAAGAAAATCAAATTGAAAAGAATGAAAAAAAATTATTCTAACCATCGCTTGTCTTATGTCGCATGTTGCGAGCGATAAAAGTTGTCAAGGTCGCAAGTATTGTACAACGTCCCCTGTTTATCCGAAAACAGATGGAGTCACGGCACGCGGCAACCAGGACGACTAGCCAGTGATTTTGGCCGGTGCTCGACTCGAAGTGACCTGTGTAAAGGCCTCGTTGCGCTCTCTACACACAATTAATTCGACTCCCGGTAAACGCTACATATGTCGTCTTCACAGCGTTCAATTTATCATTACTGAGCTTAGAATGGCGCATAAGTAGATCAATGCAAGCGGAATTCGAATTTTTAATTATACTTAAAGTATCCATTGCATTACTTCCCATAATTTTCGGAAATTACGAATTAGAGTAGGTACATATATTTGTAGCAAAGCACTCGAAATTAATTAGTAGATATTGAAAAAGAGTGTTCAACATTATTTTGCAGTAGTTTTTACTATTTTAAAAATAATACCTTAATTAGTTTTATGTTCCAATAACTATTCAGTATATTTGAAGACTGTTTTGACAGCGATACTTAAAGTAATACGCAGGGAAGATATATATATTCAAATTATTCATAAGAAAAATTGTTGATTAAGCCAGTTATTATATAATTTCCTGATAAGATGGAGTCAGACGTTCACCTTGATTTATTCACGCGAATCGATTTGCAAAGCGATTAAACGAATTTATATTGTCGTCACAGAACAATTAGATAAACACGAGCAATGCTAACTATCGATTGTTACATAACACATGAAGGTAGTAACAGGTATTTCGAACTGTTCGTTCTATGAAATGAAATTAAAATAAATTATGGTGACTGATAAGACATTATGAGTTACTTCATGAATTAAGTAATTCAAAGCTTATAAGTTTTTATATAACAGACTCATTCAAATTGTACTATTGTTTCGATATTATCAATCAAATCATCTTAAAAAAGCAATCGAATTTACCTTATTAGAAAAATATTATATTGTTTCAATAAATGATTGTGATGTCAATTTTGATTATTCGATAGAAAAGTTACCAATAAGAGAACCATCAAGTAGACAATTATTAATTTTTTTGTAATGAAGTTCTGATGAAAATGTATGACCACGCCATAATTTTGATGTCATCCAATAGAATTTAATTTTTCGGAAAGTAAAAATATAATATATACTGGATCGACTTTCTACAATATTTGTCTCTATCATTAATAAAATAAAAATAGTTATTAAACTAAACATTT